GCAGAAGCCTCCGGTCGCCCGCTCCCTTCCCCTCCCCCACCACCCACTCCTGGGCCGGCAACTGGAGGCCGGGTCCCTTCCCCCCCACTCACTCCAGGGCTGGCAACAGGATGCAGAGGCCTCCGGCCGCCGCCACCGTTCCCCCACCCACCCCCCTCCCACACTCACCCACTACTGTTTAGCTTACCACCATCCAGCCTATGCATTCGTTACAGACCACATCTTTCTAGATCCCGTTGTATCAGTTTCACAACGGGCTTTTCTGCTAGTATAAGTATAAAACATTACAAAGTGCTAGTGCATGAACAGCGTCCAACAAACAGGCAGTCAGTTCCCATCGTAGTCTGGGTTATCTTGGCTGTTAATAATAGTGTTGATGTTGATATTAATATTGATATTAATATTAGGGCCAGGGCCTCAGTTGTATGGTGCGGCTCCCTAGTCGAAGGCCTGGTGGAAGAGCCCTGTCTTGCAGGCCCTGCGGAATTGTAAAAGGTCCTACAGGGCCATGATGTTTTCCAGGAGCTCATTCCACCAGTACGGAGCCACCACTGAGAAGGCCCTGGCCCTCATTGCAGCCAGCCTGGCTTCTCTGGGCCCGGCAGGGCCACACAGTTTTGGGACCCCGATTTTAGAGCTCTCTGGGGAACATGGGAAAAGGCGGTCCCTTAGGCACGCAGGTCCCTGACCATATAGGGCTTTCATGGTAAGAACCAGCAAATTGAACTGAATTCGGTATGCTATAGGCAGCCATGCAGTGCTTTTAGCGCAGGTTGGATGTGCTCCTGCATAGGGAGGCCCAACAACCACCTGGCTGCCGCATTCTGCACCAGCTGCAGCTTCTGGATTTGGGACAAGGGCAGCCCCATGTAGAGAGCATTACAGTAATCCAGTCTCGAGGTGACCATTACATGGATCACTGCTGCCAGGTCATTGCGTTTGAGGAAGGGAACCAGATGCCCAATCAGCTGAAGATGATAGAAGGCTGACTTCACAGTGGCTGCTACCTGGGCCCCATTGAAGGTCGAAAGTGGGATCCCTACCTTTGGGCCACTCCAACTCAGGCACAGAACCTCCATCTTCGTCGGATTCAATTTCAGTTGACTCAGTCTAAGCCAACCAGCTGCTGATTTATTTTGTAAGGAAAGTTTATCTGTTTTCTGAAATATAGCAATAAAGTAACCAGGGGTTCTTCTCTGGTTATGGAATTCCACATTCAAAAAAGCTATGCCTACACGCCATCAGACCTTATTTCAGAAAAACTCCTTATTGTCAGATATGGAGGAACACAAACTAAGGCACTCCAGTAGCTCTGCATGATCCAGGTTGTTTAGGGTTTTAAAAGTAATTACTAGCATATTTAGTTAGTCCTAGAAGGAAATGCAATGAATGTATTTTTCAGTAAAATGTTATATCCCTATTAAAGGGAATTTCTAAGCATCTTCTGGAGAAAATTATCCCATCTTGTCCTTTGCTCCTCTGGGCAGATCCTCAGACTCTTTTTTTAGTTGCTCTTTACACACAGATTGCACTGAATGCGTAATACTTGGCACAAGCAATAAAAAATTAGACATCCTTGAGAATATGAGAGGGCTTTGTAAATCACACCCAAAGATAGAACAGCTCTTCACTTTTGAACAGAAGCAAAACAAAGACATTTTAAGGAAAACTTTATTGAAATAGTACGTCAAATTTTTAGTTTAAAGATTTGCTTTGAAGTATTTCTGATTAATTAAATAACTTCTCCCATTCCAACTCTGAAGAAACATACACCAATGTCCTTGGAAGTTTTCCAGTATCATATCTTTAGGGTCATGAGCTGATCCTCAGATGTGAACACACTCTCAATGTCTGTAGCGGCAAGAAACTGATCTCCTGAGTGAGAACACAGTATCTGTCCTTAGTGCCTTTCGAGGACACTAAGAGGAAAAACTCAGTTGACCAACAGGAGAGAAACAAATAGGTTGAGCTTTTATATTTATATTGGGATTTTAAAAGCAAATGTGCGCTACACATGGCACTTTGAACAGCTGCAAAAACAAATTCTCAGAGAAAAGGTTGCTCAGTCATAATGTGCTGCTGGAAAGCTTCTTGAATAGGATAACATTTTAATATTAATTGTCTAATAATCCCTAGCATCTCTGCCAGTTTGTGAGCATTATGGGCAAAAGATGAGACTCACAACTGTAAGGACTCCCCATCAAGGTGATACTCTGTGACTAGTTCATGGAGAAAGGTCAGTGCTGCTTATGAAGATGACAGGTGTTTCTGGGCTGAAGAGTTGCTTCCTAAAGGCCTGATAATAGGAAAGGAATATTCTTAACTGTTTACTGACCAGTTTTAAACATACTGCACCAGTTTCTTAGGATGGCAGATACCTAAGGTGGCAGGACAGTACAACAGTTACAGTATAATAAGAAGATAGGTGAGTATTTGTACATTAGAGATGCTGCCAAATTTCCCATCCCTGAATATTTGACTCAGAAGTACCTGCTTGATTTTTCTTCTCCCTTTTGTGAACTGGAGCTGTGTCATGCCATTTTCAGTTTCTTCATGCTAGTTTTCTTGTTAAAATGACTATGATAAGTTTTGATGGTCTTTTCACATCAGTTACATATAAATGGCTATTAAATAGTATAAAAGAAACAAATGAATGAGAAACATCAATATCATAAATGCACAGAACATCAAGGCTCATAACAAGAACTCATGAAAACAACAAGAAGGGAAAACTTTATTTAAATGTTTTTCTCCTACACTGTGGGTCTCAAAAAGCTTCTACAGTGAAGTCCACAAATTACAGTTCAGAACACAGACACAGCAAACAGTTTATTATTGCCCACAACTTAACTTTTTATTACTAAGAGTCAATTATCAGGAAAAACAGGTATCAGCCTTTTCCCAAGACAGAAATTCCTATGGAGCCATGAGCACAGGGGAGGATGAGGATGAGCAGCTAGTCTTTCTCAGCCTTGGATGGAATACGCTCTGTTCCCTGGAAGTAGCAGCAGAGTCCTAGGCAGAAGTTCATATAGTGCCCCAGACAAGAGCAGGGCTGACTTCAGGTCTTTCTCACCTTTCCCCCTGGAAGCAGGCATAGTTGTCTCTCCAAGACAGATATGGATATTGGAAAATATCGCCAATGTATTGTAAAACAGACACATATATACCTACAAGTCAAATGATTAAAATTTTTGTGGACAGAAATTTAATAAATACTAGTGCCGCAATTCTGCACAAATTTATGTGTGTAAAAATTGCCTTTAGTAGGATTATAGCATAATTCTGGCTAGTAAAAAAGAATTGCTTATTTCCCTTACAAATATATTAAAAGCGTTGTTATCCAGTACTCATAGACAATGGGGTTACCAGTTAATCAAATGTACTAGATATTCAAGCTTTTTGCTTTGCTGCACCCTCTACCTAGAGGAATCTGCAGCAACCAAATTCCATTCCATTGGGAACACCATGGTGATAGCCCCCCCATGCCTGGCAAGACCTGTCCTCTTCTCCTCAAGTCATGGAGCTGTCCTAGGCAGCAGGCAGACAAGCAGGAGCCCTCTAGCACAGCTGGCTTCTAACAGTCTGAGATGGGCTGATGGAGAAGGAGGCACCTAAGGATGACAAGAACAGCTGGAGGCATCAGTCCGGATAGGTGGGAATAGAATCTGCATGCACCAAAGTATGTATGTTGGTGGAGAGGCAAAGGGTTTGCCCTCTGGGTGGTGCTGGTAAAGTAATTATTGTGGATAATAGAGTGCTTGATGACACCGTTTTATTGTATTGATGATATCCATTTATTGACATCTTTTCAATGGGATTTATCTCTTTGTTTCAGGAACAGGACTGGGAGAGCGGAAGTGAGATGGAAGCTGAGACATGGTACCCAACTAACATGGAAGAACTAGTAACGGTAGATGAAGTGGGAGAAGACGATCTTATAATGGAACCTGATATAACTGAACTTGAAGAAATAGTCACAGTTGGTCCCAAACACCAAGAATGTTCAGAAAGTGGTCCTTTAGCTGCAGTGGAGATGATAGTTGAGCACAGCTTATTAAATAAAAGTGAAGAGAAATCTAATGTGGTAGAAGCAAGCTTTGGGCCAGCAGAGGAAACTCCAGGGATTCTCAGTGGCTTAAAGGGTGATGATGCAGTTACTAAAGCATTACATCTAAATTTGGACACTGAGCAGAAGCCAGCTGAATTGCATGAAGGCAGACTTCTTAGCGATTCTGATTGCCATGATACGAAAAGAAAAATAAATGAAAGCACTGACGTTCACTTAAACCTGGAAAAACCTTGCATAACTTCTGATCCTCCAAAAGAAGAACTCCTACTACAGCAGAGTGACACATTCATAAACGATCATAAAGAGATGGAATCCCTAGAAAACGAGAGTAGGAAAGCTGTGGAAAAGCTGGTCAAAAACTCCCAGGAGGAAACAAGCTGTGGAAACCAGGAGCATCAAAACACTCAGGGTAACGATACTTTCCTCTCTGTCTTGTTGTTATAATAGGTTTGTTTTAGTTTTATATCCATGCAATATGTATTCAATTTTTAATATGTTATTAGCAAAAATAAACATTGCTCAAAACATTATAATTTTCCTAGGAAGAAACTCACTGGGAAACCAGCACTGCCAAATTTAAGCCATTTAAGGCTCTTATTCGAATAATGTCAAGGAAATAAGATCTAGTAAGCTTTCTGGAAGAGACATCTGTTATTATGGTCACTTCTGGGTCATACAAGTTGAACTGAACTGTTTGAATACTCAGCTTGCATTACTTAGAATTGTTAAGGAGAACAACAGGTCAACAACAAAGTGTTTTATGTCTGGCTCTTGCTTGTTCAGAGTATATAAAAACATATTCCTTAGATGTTTTTGCAAAACCCTATTTGCAATTAAATGGCTTTTTGGTGTGTTAGATCTCACTTTTCATGTTAGTGCAGAATTTTATATGTTGTATATACCATGTTCCATCAATAGATCTCATTCTTAAGAAGGCCAAATCTGTGGATGCTTAAATCCAGAGACTGGAGCCATTAATAGACAAGACAGCTTTTTCTATAAACCAGAGAAAAGCCCCAGGTTTGCAGAAATATCTGAAATCTAAATAAATAAATAAAAACATAAGAGAAGCCAATGTTGGATCTGGCCAATGGCCCATCCAGTCCAACACTCTGTCACACAGTGGCCAAAAATACCAGGTGCCATCAGGAGGTCCAGCAGTGGGGCCAGGACACTAGAAGCCCTCCCACTGTTGCCCCCTCCCAAGCATCAAGAATACAGTGTATCACTTGCCCCAGACTGAGAGTTCCTATCTATACCATGTGGCTAATAGCCACTGATGGACCTCTGCTCCATATGTTTATCTAATTCCCTCTTGAAGCCGTCCATGCTTGTAGCTGCCACCACCTCCTGTGGCAGTGAATTCCATGTGTTAATCACTCTTTGGGTGAAGAAGTACTCCCTTTTATCTGTTCTAACCCGACTGCTCAGCAATTTCATTGAGTGCCCACGAGTTCTTGTATTCTGAGAAAGGGAGAAAAGTCAATCAGTCAAAGTTTATTTAATGGCTTTTGCCAGCTTATAATACAGAGAATAAAACCAAGAACACAAAATAAAAATAAGTTAAAAAGGTGTCATATAAAACAATCTTGCAGAGTTAGGATATATGAATTATGGGGTAAGATTAATCTTCTCTCTACGTATTGCAAGACAGGTCACATCATGCCAACCATGATACAGGGAGAAAGTACTTCTTTCTCTACCTGTTTATCCAATGCATAATCCTATAAACTTCGATCATGTCACCCCTCATCTTGATATATTGGGGGCTTAACCTCCCCCATAATAGAAACAGTACCTATAGCTTTAAGAAAGGAATGCCTCAATGGCCATTGTGGGAGGTTTCTAGGCAACCTCAACAGTCCTTCTTTGGCTTCTGCCAGTGAAAGGCAAGAAAATTGGGGGGGGGGCCTTTTCTAGGGCTGTTTTGGCCTTTGAGGGAGAATGGAGTGGGGGCAGGCTCCCCAGCAACTATCAGGAGACTTTCTACCATCCTACTTGCATGACTCACCTAGGCCTGGCTGCTTGCTACTGTTCAACAGCAGCCACCCCACAAAAGCCACTGTGGTGTAATGGTTAGAATTTCAGAACAGGATCTGGATGATCCAGGTTTGAATCACCAGTCTGTCGTGGAAGCTCACTGTGTGACCTTGGGCTAGTTACACATTCTCAGCCTGACCTACCTTATAGGGTTGTTATGAGGATAAAATGGAGAACAGAATAATGATGTAAGCTGTTTTGGGTCCCCATTGAGGGGAATGATGGGGTATAATGAAGTAAATAAGTATAGCTGAACATGGGAAACAAATAAAAGGTAGGTTGGTTGGTGGGAAAGAATGAAAGAACCAGGGAGAGGGGAGGACATGGGGATTGCCAGGAGGAAGGAAGAAAAAAATAGTGAGGGGCGGGAGGATATAAGGGAAAGTAAGGTGCTCCGCCCAAGTCTTTGCAGGTTACCCACCATGCAATTGATCCCAGAGACCAGCACTGTGCAACTGGGTCATAGTTTTCCTGGGCAGAGGCTGCCAGGGGGAAGGAAAGATGAAGACAGGACAGATAAAGATAGGTGGGCTGGTGGGTGGGAAGATGAGAAGGAAGCAGGAAAAGGAGATACTATATTAATTTTGCTGTAGACATCTGTGGCATGGTGCATCTTGGTTCTTCCTGCATGTGGCCTAGCAGTTGAAACATACTGGCCAATCACAACTCACCATAGAAGGTACACATATATATTTTGGCATCACACATCATAGTTACATATAGGCAGGCCCATATGCACAGGCCCACAAGTGCCCGGCACCCCCAACAACAACAACAACCCGGCACCCTTCCCAAACAGCCATGCGCTCCTTCTCCTTCTTCACTTCCCAACCCCCCCAACTCAGTTCAGCAAGGGGCTCCTCGTACTTGGCAACGCTGTCACATGATGCTGGCACTGCTCGCTCTGCAAGGCTCCTTTGGCTAGTGGGGTAACTGAGAGGGCAGGAAGGGATGGAGGGAAAGGTCAGGGAGAGGAGGGGTGCACGCAAAAGAGGCTCACTCAGCCAGACAGACAGACCAGCTGCTTGCTGCTTCTGAACTCCAGTTGCCTTCAATCAGGTGACTGCCTGTTCCTCTTCGATCAGGGGAGGTGACATGGCAAGGGAAAGGAGGCTAAGAAGATGATGGCTAGCTAGTGCAGGATGCTGGCAAGGCAAGGCAACCATCCAGGGTGCTGCTGCTGCTGCCACAGGGGAAAAGACTCAGAGGATCACCTGCTGTTGATCCTGCAAGCACCGGGCTCCGAAGGGTGGGGGAGAAAGGTGAGCGCCAAGCCCGCCCCCATGCAACCTGCTCCGGAGGCAGGAAGGAGAGCAGCACTTGGAACAACACACACCCACCTACGCTCTGCAGAGGAGCCCAGCTGGTCTCCAGTGGCAGAGCCCCTCCCCTCTCCAAACCCCACCTTGCACCTTGGTGCACCCCCAACAAAACTTTCTGGGTACAGGGCTGCATATAGGATACATACAAGTTACTCTAAGGAGTGTGCGCCTTAGAAAAATAAAAACAGATACATTCCTTGGTACTTCTGGTATTCCTTGGAATTTTCTTCACAATGCTTATTTGGGAATAATTTCAGTGTTAAAGGGATTTTACTAGGCCAAACAGTGCTTTATTGACATCTGTGTATGTGCAACATCTCCCCTAAAGCATTTCACCTATTAAACATGGTTATTAAAAATATTTCCCTTGTTCATTGTTCAGGTTATCATCCTCTCACATTTGACTACTTTTCCAACCTTCTAAGAAAGGACAAAGTAATGTGAAAGGCAAATACTGAAACTTTTGAGGGCAGGAAAGGTCTCTAAGTGAATTCACACACATGACAAAGTCCTCATATCCCACATGTTCTCCCATAACTGTTGTGTCCATCTGGATATGTGTCCATGTCTCCACACCCTCTGGTTATTGTCCCTATATCTGCTATGTACAAGTGTTCACCTTGTTATTTTGGATATCCATATCTGCAGAGTAACAAAGCTTGCATGATGGAGTGTCAACCTCTACAGCTGTTTTCACGTTGAAATCCAGTTAGCAGCCCTGTTGGCCACTAGTTGGTACTATTAGCATCTTTTGAATTTTCTGCAGATGTTGTGGAGATTTTTTAAAATAATAAATGAAGAATTCACCTATTTGTATTACTGGATAAACAAAAATGTACAAAATCACTCATTTCTATATATTTCACATTTATTCACAAAAATATACAATCATGATGCAGACATCAAAAGAAAAGTGACTTGAAAAAATTCTGGGGAAGTGATGCACTTTTTTTTCTGAAAGGACCCCCCCCCCCCCCCGCCATTTTTTTTTTGATAAAGAGGGGAG